GGTGTCAAGCTTAGCGGTGAGAACGGTGAGGTTGAGGTTGCCAAGGCTGCTGTTGAGTGCGAGGCTGAGGTTAAGGAAGGCCTCGTAGATGGCGTCAAGAACTTATTTGGCTTTGGCAAGAAGGATCAGAAGCCTCTCAAGGAGGGTGAAGGCTCTGAGGAAGAGATGAAGGATGACAAGTCTTCTTCTTCCACTGCCTCTCCTGAATCTGCTACCGCTTCATCAGCCGACTCTGCCGCTTCTGGAAGCACTGAGGAGGTCAAGCCTGAGGCCAAGAAGCGAGAGATTGTCGGTATTCCTGTTGAGATCACCATTGAGAACCGCGGTGTTCCTGCCCTTACACCAGCCGAGATTTCCAAGTCTAAGGACCGTCTCAAGGCCTTTGCTGCCTCTGACAAGGCGCGCCTACAGCGAGAGGAGGCTCTCAACCAGCTCGAGGCATTCACCTACAAGATTAGGGATCTCCTCGAAGGGGATGCCTTTATTGCGGCTTCTACTGAGAAGGAGAGGACCAAGTTGGCAGAACTTGCCAGCGAGACAAGTGACTGGCTCTATGCTGATGGTGCAGAGGCGACCAAGGATGTCCTCAAGTCCAAGCTCAAGGTTCTCAAGGACCTGGTCACACCCATTCAGAAGAGAGTTGAAGAGACTGAGAAGCGACCTGAATACCTTACTGCACTAAAGCAGACTCTGGAGAACACCCATGGATTTGTTGAGAAGATCAAGGGGCAGATTGCCGAGCATGAGAGCTGGCACAAGTCCGCCTCTGAGTCCGCCTCCGCATCTTCATCAATTGAGTCTTCCAGCACAGAGGCTGCGCAAGAGAAGGCCACGGGTGACTTTGACGGACTAGAAGACGAAGATCCCGCGGTTGCGGAGGCCCGCAAGATGGAGCAAGTCATCAAAGAGAAGGGACCTATTCCTCCTCTGTACACTTTGGAGGATCTCAAGGAAGTCATTGATCTTCACAAGGCCACTCTGGACTGGTTGAATACACTCGAGGCCAAGCAGTCTAAGCTTGCTGCCACTGCTGATCCTGTTCTCCTCATCAAGGACCTCAAGACCAAGCGTGACAAGCTTGAGAAGGCCAGCGTTGAGGCCGCCCTCAAGGGTGCCCGAAAGGTGGAGGAGAAGAACCGACAAGCCAAGAAGGCTGCCAAGGAGGCCAAAAAGAAGAGCAAGAAGAGCAAGACAACAAGCGGAGAGGCATCACAAGAGACAGTGCAGCTTAACGCTGAGGACTTCATGAAGGACGGTGAGATCGATAAGGAGCAGCTCGAGAAGTTGCTCAATGATATGAAGAAGGAGAACGCGAAGAATGAGAAGAAGAGCGAGGGAGAGAAGAAGCAGACTCACGACGAACTATAGACGATGGTGTATTGACTTTTGATCTTGGCTTTCTTATAACGAAAAGGAAGAAGGCGAAGCTGGTTGTTGATACACATCTTGATTGCTTGATTGATACCGGGTCAGATGACGAACGATAGAATATCTGACTCTAACTATACCTACCATATGAAGTAGAATACCATGAAGATGGACATGTGAATTTCTCGCCAATGAATGATGAACGGGATCAAAATGTGAGATGTTTAGTGAAGTCACGATAGGGTAATACGGATATGTCGGTCCTGTTCCACGGGTCGTATCGCTTAGATACATTAGCCAACGGATCCGCGAGTAACGAAGCATTATATCGTGCCTTTTGGTGTCTCTATCTGTTCCACGTCCATGTCTAACTCCCTAGGTAGGTCGGTTAGTAGTATCGTTACCCATCCTCATGGTCTTGTGAGCCAATCTCATGACCCAAGTCGAGTACAGGTCCTCCTGTGTCTGTATTTTTCAACATGGAATACCCGATGTGCCGTAGTTGTTTGTTGCTACCAGAGACGTGGATTGGATATTCATGCATTGTTACGTCGCAGTTGCAGGTTCCCGTGTTTGTCCCTGGCTGGAGCTGTAGGCGAGAAAAACGACCCGATTACAAGAGGTTGTGTAATGGTCGGCGCGAGGTGATGGGCTCGTCTACGGGGAGGGAGCGGTTTTTGGGTGGCACAGAGCGTGGGCCGAGGACCTAGCTATGGAGGTTGGTGATATAGGGGTCTCGGCTTCTACTACTCGAATGAGACGTTGCGAGGATAACGGGAGCTAAAGTACTAAGATTGCTGCTGGCAGTGCTAGATTGTCTTGGCTGAGAAAGTGTCCGGCAGTGTTGATAGCTGCGAGGTAACCAACTGTAGCACCTCCCTCTCTGTGATATTTAGATGATTCACTGGCCCTCCACTGTCTGTCTACCAAGTTCCAGTTTTCCCTTCCTTCCTTCCTTCCTTTCTTCCTTCCTTCCTTCCTTCCTTCTCTGTTTCCTTCGTCAATCTCTCGCTCCCAGTTACACCTTCCTGTGTATTACAACTCTTCTCGTTTATCTCTTAGTTCTTCTCGACTATCCCTTCTTCATCTTTCACCCTCTTGGCCGATTTTGACTCGCCTCCTTCAATCTGAATCATGAGGAGCCTGGCTTTTCTTGCTGTGCTCTTGGTAGTCAGCATTGCTTCTGCTGCTGCCACTCCTCGGCACAAAGCTCGCAAAGGCTTTTCTCTCGAGGCTACCAAGAACTCGAATTCCAAGCCCGACTTCGTTCGAGAATGGGTCGCAGCTCATCAGAAATGGGGCAAGGGCGTCTCCCCAGAGACTTTGTCTGCATTTTCACTTCTTGATGACGGTATTAACTCTAGTACTTTGTCGTCCATTCATATGCTAACCCTTGTGCAGATGGTCGTGTCGATGTGAAGCCCCTTGGGGCAGATGAAATCTACATCGCCGACGTCAAAGTTGGAAATCCGCCTCAGACTCTCAAGATGGCCCTCGACACTGGCTCTGCAGACTTGTAAGAAGTATTCCCTTAGACGAGACTGATTTATGCTGACTTTCACTTCAGGTGGGTGCAATCTACTGACACAATCTATCGAGCCAACCCTGAAGGTCCTTGGGCTCCTCGATACAAGCCCAACTCTTCCAAGACATCTCGCCGACTTCGCGATGCCGAATGGGAAGTCGAGTATGGTGAGAATTATCTCTCATTCCATTCCGTTGGGATATGGTATGCTGACCTGTTTGATAGTCGACGGAACTCATGCTAATGGCATCGTCTACCTCGATACCGTCCGCTTGGGAGACTTTGAACTCAACAATACTGCCATCCAGTCTGCTCAGATCGTTGCTCCTCGCTTCGAGCGAGAAACTGAACTCACAGGTATCTTAGGCCTTGCCAAGTCTCTTCCAAGCAATATCGATCCTCCGACTCCGTCTCTCCTTGATAAACTTCGTCCTCTACTGGCTGATCCGGTTTTTACTGTTGATATGCGTCGAAATGCGACAGGTCGCTTCGATTTCGGTTACATTGACGAGAGCCGTGCCAAGGACAACATTTCATGGATGGCCACACGGGAGGATAGCCCCCATTGGGACGTCACGTTTGACACAACAGCCTGGACCGGTCTTCGTCAAGTCTGGATGGCTCACACCTTTGAGGCTACTATTGACACGGGAACTACACTGCTCTTTTTGCCTGGGGATCTAGCCAGTATGTACTGGTACGACGTTCCAGACATGCGTGTTGATCCCCGTCTCCGCGACTCTTTCACGTTTCCTTGCAAGTTTTCCAACGATCTTCCAGACTTGATGTTCAAGGTGCCAGGCACCGAGCACGTTCTGAGGATTCCTGGGCCGTACCTCAGCTACAGCACAACCGACAACGACTCGGACTACTGCTGGGGCGGTTTGCAGAGTGCAGAGAGCTTGGGTGTAACCATCATTGGCGACATTGCGCTTAAGGCCTTGTATGTTGCATTTGATCTCGAGAACAACAAGGTTGGGTTTGCCAACAAGGATCTCGATGATATTGATGATTGGTAGTGGCGGTGGTAGCATGGATTTCGCGTTTGGTATCTTAGAGCATGCCGGTATGTAATTCTGGAGCTGTTGAGACAGGTCGGCTATCGTGATGCTTTGTAAGATGAGATGAGAAGAGCTAGAGCCAGTCATGTGTAATAAAGTCAAAGGGATATTAGAACTCTCAAGGGCAGAAGTGAGGCGTTGTTCAAGTGACAAGGTAAAGGATTACCCGTGTATTTCCACCCGTCCCTTAACTGGAAAAGATACATGTAAACTCATTATTTCGGGCGTGAATTCAAGTCGATTGAGGCACTGTTGATGCACTTGCTATCAATTGACATGCAATACGAGTCCATCCAAATACGTTCCCATCCTATTCATTCCATCTCATCTCAACTCATACAAACAGTCCCCCAGTCCAGTCCAGTCCAGTCCAGTCCAGTTCCATCCAATCCACTACCCATGCAAGACGTGGACGTGGACGCTATCCTCCCATAAACAATATGCAGCAGCCTGACGCAACAGTCGAAGCGAGAGGATGAAAATAATAGTAAAATGATGTTGCAAATGCTGCCTCTATCAACGCCGGGAATCTTGGTAGCGAACGACAAAAAAAGGGGGGAACTTCAGGCTGGGGATGCGCCGTTGATTTTCGCCCGGCTCCTGAAAACTCCAGCAACCGGAAAGCATTGCTAATGATAAAAAATAGTCGAGGGCGTTTGACGTTATTAATGCGCCTCGGCTGTAATTCGTGGCTTTCTTCGAAACAATGAATTGGCCAGTCGTCGAGGGTTGCGCCGAGTCAGTCTTGAAACATGTTCCCCATAAAGATGAAAGGTCGGGTTGGTGTGAGAATTGCGGTCTGGTTCTGGTCTGGTCTGGTCTGGCCAAGGGTTGCATGCAGCTCAGCCGTTGGTTCTCCGCGCCCGCTACCGCTCACTAGCTCAAGAGGGGCGACATCATCTCTTGTAAGAGGCTGACTGGCGGTGATGAGTGAGTGTTGGCCCTCGATAGAATTGAATGGTTCATGGAGAGAAAGGAGCAGCAAAAAAAAAGGTCAGATTGCTTTATTCATGGTCTCCGTCTTTATAAAAAGTCAAAAATATTCGTCAGCGCGGGCCGTCTTGCAAGTCATCACGGGTGACGACGTAGTATTCACCTTCACTGGCACCCGGGGTCGGGGGCATGTTGCCCGAGGAGGGAGCTTGCTGAGAAGCGCGGGCTGTTCCCGGTCGAGAGCGAGCCTTAGAGTCGTCCGTGGGAGCATCGAGGGAGCTTGGCTGCTGCTGCTGCTGAGTCTGGGACTGGTTGATGTTTTGTGTCTGGACCTGTGGAAGAGGAGAGCGCTGAGTGGTGCCTACAGAGCGACGTAGGCGATCTTCCATTTCGCGGATGCGGGCTTCGAGAGAGGCGAGTTCTTCTGTGTTCTTGTCGACTGTTTGCTTCCTGAACAAGGTGAAGTGCGGTTAGATGCAAGGCTTCGGGTGCGAAACGGTGAGTAAGTGGTAGACCAACTTATCGTGGACTTGCTGATCCAGGTCGGTGAGCGAGTTCTCGATGCGGAAGATGTCCATCAACTCTGCACTAAAAGAGCGGGCGATGGTGCTATACGAGAGAGGCATGTTAGGTCTTGGTTCGCGATCACATTGGTTCTGTAGACGACATGGCAGTCGTCTTCAATTGAGGTGAGTGTATAGGGGGATACGGACGATTGAGGGCGACGGCCACTGGGCTGCCAGTCACGGTCGAGCTCGTCATCGGTGAGAGTCATATTGCTGATTATACGAGGTTGGTTGATATGATAGAAGCTGAGCAAAGTAAAGCTAAAAGTCGAGGAGTATGGAGTAGCAATGGGTATCACAGTTAGAGGCGCAAAGAGATGAAGAGTTGGGAATGAGAATGATGGATGGAGGGAGAAATTGAGACGGGAGCTCAGCTCTAAAGACATCCATGGAAGAGGCACTTGTAGTGGCCCTTGTAGTGGCCCTTGTAGTGGCCGTAATTGATGGAAGTTTCCAAGGGACGGGTTCTACCTTTAGAGCTAAAGCTAAGTAAAGCTAGTGACAGCCATTTCCTGAAGTGGGTGAGGTGGGCTCTCCCTTTTGCCCCACACGCGACCCGACGCCCACGCGCACAGCGCATCTGTATGCATCTGTTAGGGGGAGGGGTTCACTGTGAGTGTGATGGAGATCCACTCCAGCTGTCCCTAGGGCAGAAAGGTCCCCTGGAATTAGCGGCTTTTTCTGGTAGTTCAAGGGGGGGCCCGGGGGTGTGTGATGTTGAAATAGGGTGTGCATGAGGTTGGGGTTCTTTGAATGAACCTTTTTTTCCACCTACGGATGCGGATTGAAAGAAGAGGTGATGATGATATACCGGTTTAGAACAAAGAGTCGATGATCAGTGTGAAAGCGGTTAGGTCAGAGAAAGACTCAATGATTTGTTTGGTCTGGAGATGTGACGACGTGGTTGAAAACGTCAGGAGGAAGAGTCCAAGACATTGTTCATAAACTCTCCTCTCCATGGCTGACTGACCAAATACTACAGTGATATCTTGGTAGATATCCGTAGAAGTCGAACGATAGTTTCCATCCCATCAAAACTGTCAGATAAATGCGATACAACCTCGCTTCTTCTCTGTCGTTCGCCAATATCCGTGCATTGATCAAATAACCTTGAATAGTCCTTACGCCCCCCGCAAAGCAAGCGGTGATACGACCCCCCTTGTCTTGATGAGCAGATGAGGGAAAGGAAAGGTTTCTATTTGTTTAATGGATAATTACATACGGAGTATGGCTTCTCCGTATCGATTTAATGGCTAATCAACAGCCGAGATGGCCTGGACGTGACGAGGTCGCATCTGGTGGGAACACACACGCCCCCAAACAAATTATCATCATCAATAAGAGGCTGAGACTGGAAGACAAGAAAGACAATGCATTACATGCAGACTGCTCCTGAGCCTGTAATTAACTGAGAACCCCTATTTTGAGATACAGGCAACTCTCATCATAGCACATTCTAGTAATCATGAACCTATTATTTCTTGCTGTAGGTAGTAGATCTCGTTATCAAAGTCTGTATTTCGCCAAATTTCCACTCATTTACCCAGCCATGGCTCGGCAGCGCCTATCATCATGTACTGTACTGATTGAGTGTATCAACGGACATGCCCAAGCGAAAAGGGGCGCCCGAGTGGGCGGATGACATCAATTTTAATTTACTTCAACTTTTGAATCCCGGTTCCATTGTTTTAATTGAATGATGATACTGTCTCGTGTGATTTGAAACGAGAGCATCTGCATCTGTCGCGTGCTTGGTTATTAGTTGCCATAAATAAAACGCCATTTCATTAATTAATCGATTCAATTCAAAAAGGCACGCGCCATCTCGACGAGACTAGGATCGAGTGAAATTTAATGCTGGTTCCACTTCCTCTTCCTCTTTTTGTTCCTTGCTCTTTCATGCCCGATCTTGATGATTGCACTGACCAAGACTCTCCGCTTTTTGGCTGGGATGAAGTGATTCTCGTGAAGTCATCACGGCTATGACTTGGACTAGGGTGATGAACTGAGACATGTCATGGGGTACTTGCACCCGACATTTGTACTGTCTAAGAAAGAGTAAAGATCTCCCGTGACTTGTAGATATGTACGTGATGGCCATGGTCTTCTGTTTCATGTCGTCAGGACATGAACTTTGCACAAGACTGAGTGAGTGAGTGTTTGGTTTAGGGTAGATGTGATGACCATGCTGTATAATGACCAGGCATTCATGATGCTCTCTCATCTCATCCCCCACTATCTATCCATACACGGCTCGAACCGAGACTCGGTCATCCCGATGTGATGCATCAAAAGACTTGATCCATGTTCATATGTTGTTTCAGCAAGTAACTTTGCGTTCACTGGAGAGAACTGTTTCTTACTCTACTGTGCTTCTTTCCGCCATCAGACGCTTACCAAAGTGCATTCTGCAAAGGTGAATATCAAAGCAACAAAATAGAAACCACCTCATCAGTCTCAACACCAATGCTCACCAACTTACTTTACAGCGTAATAAATAACACAGTCTGTTTGAGGATTCTGCAAAAATGTCAAAATAACAAGTTCACATGCCCCGTACTGGAATCGAACCAGTGATCTTATCATTACTAGTGATACGCTTTACCACTGAGCCAACGGGGCTTTCTTGCGAGCTTCTTAGAGGACGAGCTTCAAGTTGGGAACATGAAGATGAAACTAGTGGGATCTGGTATCATAGGATGGGCCAGATCCTAGTCATGATAGGTGATGAATGGTGACCATTGGATATAAGTCAAGGTGGAAGTGAGGCTAAAGTTTGAAGCCAACATGCGGAACGGATAGCTCTACCGTGTTCTCCAAACTCAATAGATAATTAAATTTATCGTCTCTACTGAGTTCACGTTGATTTACAACGTCGACATGGAAGTATGCTTCCGCCCTATTAACGGGACTAATGCAACGACTATTCTAAACTGGCTCATACGATTCATCTACACATGGAGTTTAATTCAAGTAATATTATTCGTCAGCCAGAAGATGTTAAGCTATCTTAATGGACATGAGATGCCGACTCTGTAGGTTCTTAACATTGTTCATCACGTTACAAACGAGCGCAATCAGCCAATGAATCACTCTCCGTTCCAATATGAACAAACAGACGAAGTAAGGTGGTTAGCTATGCCCTCTCAAGTTCCTCTATTCACTCCGTTTGAAGCTGAATGTTCAGTGCCGTATGCAAACTGATTGCCACTGTCACTGCAATGTTGTTACATACAAACGCCGTAGCAACTATTCCTTCACTTCTGTTTACCATGTTACGCTCCTAATCTCGACTGTTCTTCCAGCAAAACAAGCACTACTCTCGAAACATTTAGAACTATACACTGGCCTAGATTTTGACCAGAAAGAAACATTGCTAAGCTCTATCCGATCAACAGAGAGAAGTGAGTTCTCTAGACCTATGCCTCCATAGTGAATAAGTTGCCTAACCAGATACAGTACAGGAGAACATACGCTAGAAACATTTTGCACAATACTTCTATAAGAGAGATCCTTGGACCCCCCTGTCCAGAACCATCGCCAGCAAGAACAATGAACAGCCCTGCTATCGGGACCCTTGAAACCCCTCAAGCTGGTCGATCTCTTCCTGCCGGCTTTTCTCGAGATGCTGGAGCAGGCTTCATGCTTGGTGGTCTTGGGGGTGTCATTGGCTTTGCTATCTCGTACTGCATCGTCTGCTTCATCATGAGTGTCGTCCGAGCTCGACGACAGCGCGACAGACGCCAGACAGCTATAGAATAAGGATGCAGCGTCAAACATCAATTCTTTGCAGTCTGATATATATCCAAAAACAAGGCTGGGGTAATCCTGACAGGGTGGTATGAGATGAATATGGTTGGACGTAACATCGCATTGGTAGACGAAGCTAGGCCCACGACCACAGAAGAAGCACAAGATCCGGGAACTCGAAGGCCAGACCCAAGTGTCTTCAGAAAAACAGTTTTTGGCAGGACCTGGTATGTCAAGTCATCATCTCACCAACTATTATCGTAGAGATTGCTGAATATACAGCTATATCAGACCGAAAACATCATATGTTATGTTATAACCAAGGTGACCCCCAGACTCAAGCGCTATTCAAGAACTTGTGCGTAATGTGATTTCCGTCAGAGACCTTGTGTCAATTCTTTCTACCTAATAGCTCTATATAACACTCCTTCATCTGGAGAAACCAGCCTCTAAGCAACAAATGTGTCGGGCCTTACTAAGTTAACGAAACGCCAAACCGAACTCCGACCATTTAAGGCCTAATATCAGAAGAGAAAAGTACCAAATTCCGATTTTCTATCCACCTCTAACGCGTTCGCATTTCGTGTACATTTGTCATGTATTTGGTCTCATGAAGCATCATTGGATTTGTTCATCAGCTTTCATCATGTATCGTTGATGGACCACATCCATCTCGTTTTCACTCATAGCAGTCATGTTTTCATGAACTAGTCATTCTAGCTGCGGATCGAAGGGGTCTTGCCGCCGCCAAATGCAATCGAAGGAGCAGCGTTGGACTGGATTTCAGCTCGCTTCTCAGGGTTTTTGGTAGGATCGTTGAGGTCATCACCATCGGCGCCAGGGTTGGCCATCTCGTACTCAAGAGTCTTGATGAACCAGTAGAAGCAGACAGCAATGAGAGAGCCAATGCCGGGACCAACCCAGTAGATCCAGTGCTCAGAGTCGAAGGTACCGGTGATGACACAAGGACCAAAACTTCGGGCAGGGTTGAGCGAACCACCAGTGAACTGGACACCGACCATCTCTGCAATGAAAAGAGCCAGGCCGATACCGACTGGGGCAATGAATGTGGCTCGGTGCTTCTCTTTGGCAAGCATGAAGATGGTGAAGACCAACTCAGCAGTAAGAAGAGCCTCAATGAACACACCCTGAACCAGAGACGCGCCACCTCCCAGAGTAGTTCGGACGTTGAATGTCTCAGGAAACAAGTATCGTACCATAACGGAGGCAAGCATTGAACCAAGAATCTGAGAGAGGAACAGGCAGATAGCTCTTGTCATGCTAATAGCCTTGACCATCAACATGGCGATAGTGACAGCAGGGTTAAAGAGACCACCGCTAATACGGAAGAAGACCCAGACATTAACCATGAGCGAGAAACCGAAGATAATGGAGATGTAAAGGAGCTTGGAAACGTTGAGACTACCAGTAGACTCTCCTGTGGTAGTCTTGCTGTCGGTTTGGGCCTGAATGTTGGCAACTTCTGTGCCGGCAAAAGCGAAGAAGAGGAACATGGTAGTACCGATAAGCTCACCAAGACTGGCGACAAAGTGGTTCTTGAAATTTGAGTTCATCCATTGAGTCAAAGGGAGACGCATGATCTCTGATTTCTCCTTGGGACTGAGGTCACTCCACTCAAGCTTGCCTGTAGAGATATTGAAGCCGTTGAGGGTAGAAGCACGTCGGTGATGGAAAGGTCGATGAGGATATCCCATCTCCTCGTCCATCATTCTGCGTCCGCCAGTGGGAGGCATGCGAGGGTCGTCACTGCTATAGAACTCTTCGTCCGAGTCATGAGGGTGCGCTCGACGGCGGTTCATGAATGTGGGAGGTGGGTAAGGACCTCTTCGAGTAGTGTAACGATCATTGCGACATTCATTTCGCCAGTACCGCTCATAGTCACTCACTGTGGGGTAGTCGGCAGCCTGGTCAAAGTCGAAGTCTTCACCACGATAGCGTCGTCGAGACGATTTCAAGGAACCTCCAGAATACTGAAGGGGTTCTCCGCCATCCTGAGAGAAGCGGGCCGTCTTGGGAGTGACAAAGTTACCTGTACGAGAACCAGGACGGACTCGACTGGGATCTTGACTGACGACAGGCTGGAGAGGGACTACTGTGTCGGCCTCGGAGTTTCTGTTGCTGGCTGACGGGTTGTCTCCATGGGTGATGACTGGAGTAAGAGCTGGGTTGGACGGCAGGCTATCAGCTTCGGGAGAGTTGTCTCGCATGAAAGGAACTCTTTCATTAGAGGAGCCATTAGCTTCAGGCGGAGTGAAGGCGGATGCGTTTATAGCAGGTGTACTGCGAGCAGATCGACTTTGTATGGATGAAGACATGTCGGATGGAGAAGAAGAAGTGAGGGTCGTTTCAATAGTAGGCAAAGGATCAAGAGACATCGAATGAGATCAGTCGAAAACCCAGGATGAGCTCTCGTATTTGACTTTGAGAGATAAGCGGTTGGTATATAAGCAGTTAAGATGATTGAGATTATTATAGATTGGTAGCTGATAGAAACAGTCGACGATGGTCGATATTTATGATAAGAAGAGGGTCACCTCGTGAGGCTGAAGTCAGGGTCCTCAAGGGTTCACCAAGTGACCCGTCACCCCGACTCGGCCCTGATTCTTGAGGCTATCCTTGCTAATGACATCTTGAGGAAGGATTTGATGGTGGGTATGTAAGTTGAGCTATAAAGAAAGCCGAGGCGTCAGCGTGCATCAGAACGAATAGAAGCGGCGCAAGTTGAGATGGACAGCATGGAAGCCCTGAGTTAGATGAGAAGAAGCAAAGAGGAAGACCCAAAAGCTTGGATCTTGTGAGAGTCAGTGAAGGGACGAGTTTCATGGGAGGACCCTGAAGAGGAGCGAGCCGACGTGGCGCGAGGGAGGCCGGTAGTTAAGTGAAAACGAGAATGACGTAGCGCGAACGGCTGAAGATCTCAGCGATGGTGACAGCTGGGACCGTTAATCTGGATCGTTGCCAATGAGACGGGAGAGATGAGGCGTTACATTGGGCGATGAACCAGGATGATGGCTGTAGATGAGGCTGGCGATGCGGGCCCACTCAACTCAAGTTGAAGTACTACACGTAGACCGTGCATACTGAAGGCGTTTCTGACCAACGACGAGAAGAATTTTCAACTCCACGTAGAGCCATGAGCTTACTTGTATGTTTCATGTTGAAAGGGTTGCGCTAAGGAGCCAAACCAGACGATGTCCTGCATGCCTCACTCTTAGTTGGCACGGTGAGACTCGAAGCGATATCGGTATTCCCGTACAACCTCAGATTCAGAGTGTGAGGACGGACCCGGGGGCCTCGCCTTAGCTCCAGGTACGACACTGGCCGTTGAACGGTTATAACGGGTATGGTCAAGGCGTTGCAGTGGAGAGACTGGACGGGCAACCCGTGAGAATCAATTGATTAAGGAATTGTTGTATTGTTTCAATGTAACAAGATCGAAGATCCAAGATCACAGGGAATGGCAAATGGTGTTGCGCATTCGTCATCAGGATTAACCTCCTTGCTTGATGTAAGTCAGCGGCGTAGCATGGTTTTCAGCGATCAATACAACTCCGAAGACCGAAAAAGATGGAGGGTAGGTACTATATTCGTAGGCCCACAAGGGTCAAGGTCAAAAGTTCCTTGTATTTGAGTCGAGAACTGTCAGTGTCAGTGACATTCTGTCGGTGTATGACATGACATGCGTCAGATCTCGGGCCAAGATTTTCTGGAAGCTTTTTTTAAGCATGAGGCCGGGGTTACAGTGGGAGAGGCTGGCTACTGGTTGGGTTGCAGTGGGAGTGATAGCTTTGGCGGGGTAGAGGAGGAGGACCCTGTAAGTTGCAACCAGGAAGTTCGGTCGGCAAGAGGCGACTTCGGTTATGATTAGGCTTTAGAGTGTGAAGTAGCTCAGTTGAACAACTGATGGAATGTATAGAGAGTGCATTGGTTCTGTAAAGTTATTGCATTGCATTGAATCATAGCATTGATTCTGCTTATGGCGGAACTGAATTGAAGAGATTGGAGGTGATGATGTTTGAAACAATCAAGGCCGACGCAAGATGGACAGGGATCAACTTCAGCTGAGTTGAGCTAGAGGCCAGACACCTAAAATAGATTCGATAGAGGACACGTGACAGCGCGTCCAATTGTCCACTCACATCCCATTTTCCAACGACAGCCACTACCGCGACCGCGCCTAATAATTGACTTTAGATGAGCTTGGATCAATCTATATCAGTGAGTGTTAGCAGTGTTGGCCAGTTCCAAATATCAAGTGGTAACTGCCAATCAAGATGGACATCACTCGTGGTTCAAGAAGAGCACGGCATATAGCTGCCACTCATGCGAACCCAAACACAAACGCCAGGGCACAGGCAAACAGGGCCTCGAGCCCGAGACCTGTACCGTCCGATATAACCTCATCTCCAGTGCCTCAAGTTCCAGCTGCCACTCCAAGCGGCCCTTCTACTAGATTGCATCCGAGTCAAGGCGCTTCTCCTCTTGCTGCTGGTCCAATGGTTACGCCTGACGGTCCTCCAATTCATCGAACACCAGATCAACCTCCTGACCAGAGACGACGTCGAGCGCCGCCTCCTAATCCGTTTCGTCTGTATAGAAGTAAGTGAAATTTCTCTTCAATTAAACGTGCATAGTTAGCGCCTCTTTCTGGCAGTGCCATGATCTCATATCGGTTGCCTTCTTAAAGTGTTTGCAGCTGTAGTTGGCTGCCATTGGTCATCTGCCACTTCTCGACGGCTGCCACCAGTGATTCATTGCCCTCATACTTGCTCGATGGGGCCTCTCTTTTCTATTGTTCGATGCCTCAATAGGAACTAGACTGATGTAGTCATCTCTCTCCTGCTCTTATAACTTCTCTTCTTCTTCCTCATCAAATCTACACTTGATACTCCTTCAAGCATCTTCATCTCTCCCATTATCCCAATTGCACATTCTTCTAACAACTATATCGCCAACCTTCTTTACCCATCATCATATTTCCTCTCTTCTGATACCTTCATCTGCTGTTCTCAGCTTAATCACTCCTTCATTACTGAACTTGCCCCCTCTTTATCCGAACAAACCATCTCATCCCTGAACATGCCTTCGCGCCGCGAGATCTACATCCCTCCTCCTCCAGCCTCAACTCATCGAATCAACCGTGATCATCGCATCAAGCGAGTTCCACTACAAGATCTCGCCTTCAAGAAGTCTACTGGCGCTCTTCTCCAGCAGCGCAAGCGAGTCTTCCGAACCGTTCCTTCTCCAGACAAAGAGAACGTGGAGGCCTGCTACCGAGCCGTTGATCATCTCAGTGTCACCTTTGAGGAGTGGTATCAAGAGCGCATGCGAATTCTCCGTGAATCACGGCAATTCCGAAGAAATATTAACAATATTCTCCTAGCTGCCCAGCAGCCTACAGACCGATCTCGTCTCAGCATGCCTCCCCGCGATTCCGACGCCTCCAGCTCCGACGCTGAGCCTGACGAGAGTATTCTCTTCAATCGTGCTCGCCCAACAGCTGCTCCCGCTGGCCCTTCTTCTGATGCCACAATGGCTTACAACGACGACCAAGCTGCTGAGGATGATGCCGATCAGCGCACTCTTTCTCATTCCCCTGAAGAATATGAGGATGAGAACTCAATCGGCGAGGAAGAAGAAGAAGACGATGATGATGATGTCGACGAAGACGAGGATGACGAAGAAGCTGCTGAGCACGACCAGGCTCATGAAGCTGCGACCCTTTTCGACCCCGCTACTGCCGGCCTAAAGGAGATTTCCAACCTTGCCCGTTTCACTGTTAGCAGCCACAAGCCTGGCAATGGTGTTGAGGAGCTCAAGAGCGATGACCTCAAGCTCTTCTGGCAGTGAGTTCATCCGCCAACTCTCATACACTTTTCACCCGACTAACACTTCTCAGATCCGATGGCCCTCAGCCCCACAAGCTCACCATGTATTTCACCAAGCGTGTTGGTATTCGCGACATTCGTTTCTACGTTGACTACAACGAGGACGAGTCCTACACCCCTACCAAGGTCGTATTCAAGGCCGGCACCAGCGAGAACAATCTCATCGAGTTTGCTACCATGGCTCTCGAGAACCCCTCCGGCTGGCAGCAGGTTCCCATCGCCGGCGCCGGCGGTGGCCCTGACGGCAACACCCTCGTCGCTTGGGTCGTTCAGATGCAGATCCTTGAGAACCACCAGAACGGCAAGGATACGCATCTTCGCGGTATCAGAATCTATTCTTTCGACAACGACTCCGCCCTTGGTCCAGGTCGTGATGGTAACCCTGTCGAAAATGTCCTCGACCTCATGGACACAGCCACTAGCCATATCAACCCCAGTTCTACTCGTTCGCGCCTCAGCAACTTTGGAGCTTCCAACTTTGAGTCTGGTGAGGGAGGTCTCGCCATCCCTGAATTCATGCGAGAGCCTGAGATCCGCTAAAGAATCTATCTTAACCACCACGAACGGTACTATACTTATCTTGCGATTTGTCATGTCGTGAACTCGGTAATTACACAGCGGGTATTCTTTTCCTTTTTCTTTTTTGGGACTCGGTATTCATGACGGACTCGGAGTGCTTGGGTCACTTGCACAAGAAAAAGCATTTCGGTGGAGTTTGGAGTCAAAGACACTTGTTTGTTATCATGATCTGCGCCCAACGATGGCGGCACTGGTGTGATGGATTTGCTGGCATTACGAATTGCGCCTGAGCAACTGGCTAAAGTAGACGGATGAGAGATGATAGATACCAGAATTTGCATTGATTCGGATTCTTCGAACCCTCCCTTCTCACACAGTGAGTGACCTGCATTATTAAGATAATGGTGATAAATTGCGACTAGTAGTCCCTCTATAATTCATGCTATCCACGATATTGTCCATGTTTCTCCCCTTCGCATCCTCCATCCATTAGCCACTGAAATATTACTGCAACACCCCGCTGTTTCTGGTGTCGAGGCCATCTTGGTGGTAACTTGTACTAATACGCCGAACCCCTTCCAAAACTCTATCAATCATCTGCCACGTCGTGGCCCTCATGTTCCTTTTCTCTCTTACATAACGCGCGCTGGCAAATCTTCCATATCGTCCATAACGCTGTCTGAATCTTCGGCGGCAGCTGATACCTCGGGCACGCCAGCGGATCGGAACCTGCTAGGCGTCTTTCGCTTGCGCGTCTGAGCCTCGTCAACCTCAGAGTTGTCCTCTGCGGGAGCCCCGGCCTGAACCTCTCCGTCATCCTCAATTGGGTCCTGAGAAGGGGCCGCACGTCTAGCAGATCGACGGCTAGGTGTGGCTCTGACCGGAGTTGATCTAGCAGCTGACTTGCGAGGGGGCTTAGGTGCCTTAGGTGCCTTCGCCTTGCCCATACCTGTTCTCTTTGCAACGCGGGTTGCCTTGGGAGGAGCTGGCTCATCAAACACAGGTGTGCTGGCGGGCTTAGCGACAGGCACAGGTTCTTCTTTCATTGGTGCATCAACGGGCTCTTCGGGCTCTTCAGGCTCTTCAGGCTGTTCGGGCTGTTCGGGCTCTGCATGCTCTGCAGAAAGAGCTGGGTCAACCATTTCAGTATCTCCCATGGGAGCCAGGTCTGCAACCGCAGCAACAGGATCCATTGATGCCATCGGGGCTGGATCGAAGTCCTCCATTGGTGCGATAGGTAAATCAGGATTGATGTTCTCATCAGGAACGCCATATTCACCCTGCGGTTGTTCGGTTTCCTCCTCATCGGCCTCGTTAACAAATTCGGCGCTCATATGGTTCTGACCATTGGCAGAAGCGTTGTTGTGAGAAGCGTGGGTGGTTGGGATACTGTTCACGAACTCCATCTCTTCCGCATCGTCGAAAAGAGAATCCTCGACATTGGGAAGCTCGCCAGTCTGAGCGTACAAATTAAGAAGGTATTGTGCAGAGTCTCGTACAGTCTTCTGTTCTGACTCGGGCACACTCTGCTTCAGGCGTCGCCAAAGAAGCATCTGCGTTGGTCGATGCCAGCTGTTGCGAAACTGCTTGTCAACCAGTCTCTGCCACGGAATCTTGGCTTCAATAGATGCGGATGAGCCTGAGATAGCCATGATCATGCGATAACGTTCTTCCTCAGGCATCGCGGCAATTTGACGACGGGCCTTCTCAAGACGGAAAGAAATAGATGCATCGGGCGCATGTGACACCAACCTATCCTTGCCATGAGTCTTGATGTTCATGGCTCTCCATTTGGTGATACACTGAAGTCGACTGCGAGTTCTCCCCATACGCTCACTGATGTTTTGCCAATCGATAAGTTCCTCATATGGCTTCTTAAGCAGTTCGCGGGTAGGCTGGATGATTCGTAACTCGTCAATGGCAGCCATAGCTTCCATCACAAACTGGGTTAGGTTACCCTCTTCCTCCTCATCCCAGGTATCTTTCCGCTGGGAGTCTCCACAGATGATGTAGTTTCGATAACGATCCCGGAGATCTTCTGGGTGACGGTTGATGATACCCGCAATCTTGGACCACTTTGTTCCGTTGGCTTCGATAAGATCACGGAGCTCGGCATCTTGCTCACTGGTCCAGGTACCACGAGCAACGAAGTTATGGAACTTCTTTCGGGTGATATTGATGATTTTCTGTCTGTGTCGGTCTGGGCATGTTGCAAAGATGCGTGCCCAAAGGGCGGCATGCTCATCACCAGCGGTTGTGCCTCCAGGAGCATGGATCATAGCATTCAGTTCATGCTGCTCCATGTTGCGCTCGACACGGTAACTCTCAACTGCTTGTGCAATACGACCAAGTTCCTCATCGGTGAATCGTCCCTGGGTGAAGCCAGCCATCCGATTGCGTCGTCCGGTTGCTGGATTACCATATAGGTCATCGTCGTCTCTGACTTCCATGTCTTGAGCACGGTTGGCTTCAGACTTTCTACGATTTGAAGCCTTCTTGGTGCGCTTTCGTGGCATCGGTGTCATGGCAGAAGGTGATGGGAGGTCACCCTCGGGAACCTCGGGGGAAGGCGATTTCTCAAAGAAAGTAGGCTTTGCCTTCTTAGCCTTACCCGATCGTGTTCGCTTGGCGCCGGCACTTGGTGGGTTTGAGGCCTGAACTGGGCTTCCGGGAATATCGTACACATCATTGCTTGTATGAGGACGCTGTGCAGAGGTTGGAACCTCCATCTCCTCAGGGTGCACAGATGAGTCTTTTGTGTTGGGTTGATTTTGGCCGTTGATATGCGCATTCCACACGTCCCTGGCTACTTGTTCGAGCTCCTGGTGTTCTGTGTTCTCCTGCCCATTGATTGCAGAAAAGCCAGACACCTCATTCTGCTGATCCTGGGTCTGGGTCTGCTTCACTGATGCATCAATGTCCATCTCGTCATGAGCGGCACTGCCTTCTCTTGATTGAGCATCACGCACCTCGAGGCGTGCAGCACTGGGAGATTGGGGTGCATCCTCTGCGACATCATCGTAAATGGCAGCCGGGCGAGCTGCGTCCCTGGTGCGAAGGAAAGAGGCAGCTTGGGATTCCTTAGTGTCTGCTTCCTCGATTTGGTCATCTTGCGTTCCTGGTTCCACCAACTGTGATTCGATTTCGGCTGCCTCGTCACGGGATCTCCGCTTCTTGCGTTGCTTGCCGTCAGTGGAATCCGAGGGGCTGCGCTTGCGCTTCGTTTGAGTAGCAGGAGCCGCCGCCTCATCATCAAGGTCAGCAGCCAAGTTGTCCAGAGGTTGAGATGGGAATATGGCTGATGTGTTGTTTTCTACCAGGCTATCGGGGATTTCGACCGGTGCCATTGACTTTTTCTTGGACTTTTTGGACTTGCGCGATGATCCTTCGGCAGCTGGCAGTTGTGGAGATTCACTCTCATTTATGCCTTTCTGTTTGCGCCCCTTCTTGTCGCGCTTGTGCTTTCGGGATTGAGAGGACGGTATGTCTTCCGACATGGGCGCCTCAGGCGCCTGGTCTTCCTGGGACGCGTTGTCGAGTTGCGACGTGTAGGGGGCTTGTGTTGCGTTGCTGTCGAACATTTCGAGCGTGCCAAAGTCTTGGTCTGCAACGTCTTCTTCTGGACCAGCCTGAGCATCGCCATCGTAGTTATCAAAACCGCTCATCTCGTCAATTGGCCGGCTTTCGGTGCCAACTTCGTCTTGGGTCAGCTCGAGTGACTGCATTAGCTCTTCTGGAAGCTCTTCTTGGGTTTCGTTCTTGAGCTGCTGCTCGTTCTTGCGGCCTTCGTTACCGTCGCGGTCTTCGTCGTTTTGCTTATCTGGCCTGTTGGATTGGGAGCCGGGCATAAGAGACCATAGCACCGTCGACGCGAGGCGGAAGTCAGGCCACTTGCTACTACCGTTGCCGTTGCCTGACATCGGTGAACTGCTTCGCGACGATAGCTTCTTTCTCGTCGACAGAACGCGAGCTGAAGATGTAGGGTAAGGGGAAATTGGAAGAAGGTGTGGGGCGTCACGAAAAAAACTGACGGCGTGGTTAACCTAGAGATGGTTGCTCCCTCAGGTTCGCGTTGTCGTGACATTGATCACGTGAGCCCCACACGTGCCCCTTTCATCTGGTCTCTGATCTCTGCCCATGGCTCAGAGTCAAGAGAGATCAGTTTGGAGAGGTAAGAAAACTCAAGACCTTGACCCCAAGCAACAATATAACATAAGCTTAGGGGTTTTTTACCTCAGTTGATCTTAGTATCCTCTTCTAAAGCCTTTAAGCTTACTTGCTCCCGAGGATCGGTCATAATGTTACGCTACTCTCAAAGTACTGACAATCAAATATATACTGTTGTTGTTTATTACACTAATCTAAAGAAATAGTACAGGTTTGTACAGAGTTATTTCGACACGTGCCAAGGAAATCTATGTAAGTCAGTCAGTTATTGTACAGGTCGCTTCATGAGACCCAAAAACATTCATCACCTGCGTCTGTCCTTCAACATTATTTCGGTCATACCTCATTCAGGCGTATATGACCAGAGAAATCCAAAAACGGCAATAGGGCGACACGATTCCCATTGGCATTCATGGGAGCAATCCAAAAATGCACGTAATTGCCTCAGTCATCTTCCTTCTCAGCCTCCTTCAGCTTCACTGTAATGCCCTTGCGGTTATGCTCGATCTCATACTGTCCACCAAGAACCAAGTCTTTGGCAACAAGCTCACGAGTACGTCCCAAGCTTTCGATATCAGCAATTCTTTGTATCGTGCCTTCTAGGTGCTTCTCAAAGTTAGGCTCAGCACAAATTTCTCTGAAGGCCCGATGCATCGGAACGCTGCTTGCTCGAACGTCAGCCTCGCTAGTGATGCTGAAGAGGTTCAATCGATCGAGATCTCGGATAAAATCACACCGGGTCATGATTTGCTGAGCGATGTGGAAAGGGTATGTCGGAAGCACATGTCCAACAACAGGGTCGTAAGTTTCATGCTCTTCCATGTCCTGTTCCCTATCGACCAATGCCTTGGCCA